AGATCTATTCACAGCAGGAAAGAACCCACGTTCAATACTTTCATCATTCTTGATCTCGATCTAAGATTCACAGGTAGATCTAGATCTAGATCTAGCCTAGATCTATTTCTTAGAATCTATAATGCACAGCAAGAAAAATCCACTTTCAATATTCAATAGGTTATCAAAATATCACAGATCTAGATTCTACTTTCATTTCATGATTCTTCTTGATCTCGATTTAGATCAAGATTCTAGATTTAGATCTAGATTCTTGATCTCTTCTAGACACTGTGCACAAAATACACCCACCCTTCGGCATGCGCACTAAATCCACTGCAGGAGAAATCTACTTTCAATAGTTTCATGATTGTTTATCTTGATCTAGATCTAGATATTAGACCCATGGGACTACACGCAGGGCGTAAACCGGGCTACGATTGGCTGAACCTTTGACTTTGACACATGAATACATTAAGTAGGCTTACGGTAAACTACTCTTGGTCTTTCGAAGACACACTCCCTGTCACTCTCACCACCCTCCCTCTGCAGCGTTCTCTGTCTGTCTCTCTCTCTCTCTCTCTCTCTCTCTCTCTCTCTCTCTCTCTCTCTCTCTCTCTCTCTCTCTCTCTCTTTCCACTCATGAAAAAGCTGTTCCCTCCCATCTGATTCAAGTCACATCCAATTGGATGATTGTTGGGTGTTCTGGTGAAGTCTACTTGACTTTTAGTAGATGGTGAGTCTCTATGACAAGTGTACTTTGCCTGAACATAGATGAACTGTGATAACTCATGAAATAAATGTGAGGCAGCATGGTGAAATCAAGCGCTCGTCAAAATATGAAAGTCAAGAAATTGTCATTTTTCCTCTGGTTTGGGAATATTTTATTGAATTTTTGTTTTTTGGCTCAACACTTTTCATGCCCATTAAAGAACACGTTTCTGTATGGATTTTTACTTTAAAAAACACTGAATAAAGGCAGAAAAGATATAAATTTTCAGTTTCCACGGACTTTCAAGCTAAGGAAATAACTCAGCTTTGGCGGCCATTTTTTTCAGTAATTTTACCTCTGAAACCAGGCGACCCCCCACCTCCTTCAATCTTCAATATTTTGACTTTTATCCAACATAAATGGGTAATTTTTTAATCAAAAGCAAGGCAAATGGTCAGGCTTTGAGACAATACCAATAACTCCATATGTCCCAAAACTGATGAGCGCCCGATTCCACCGTGCATGACACAAATACAGTTGAACCTGCTTTGATAGCCACCTGTCCAAGACAATCACCAGTGCAAATAACTATTCTCCCCCCACCCCCCACCGTTATGCATTAACAAAATATCTTCCTCTTCTTTTTCGTATTTGTTATTCTCTTGTGACACCTCTAATCTTTGGCATTCATGTGACCTGATTGTGCTGTAAATCTTTTACTAAAACAAATACAAAAACAGAAGTTCCTATGCAGCCAACATCATGAGATGTTTGTCAGCTTTGTTTTATGTTGCAGATACGATCACTACGCTGTTCTTTGTGAGCTGTTTCCCCATGGCTTGCCTTGCCTGGCACTGTGTCTTAGGTTTGTGGAACAAGGTGAGTGCTGGTCACACTGAAAGTTTTTGTGTTTTGAATTTATAATAATTGTACTTATACAGTGCATAACCATGCTTTTTTTTTTACGGCACTCGCAATTGCAAAAGGCCGAATGAGCACAGGGGACACCTTAAACATTTTCAGTTTGTAGGAAATTTTGAATTTTGCCTGGGTGGCAGCCAAAGCCTACTCTTATCGATTTTGGACCACCAAGGGATCTTTAACGTGCACAACTTACACATAAGACCTTCAGGATTTTTGCTGTTATCCGAGAAGGCTAGGTGTAGATTTTTCCTACCTTATGGGGTGTGGCGGAAAGATAATGGTAAGAAGGACCCAAGGAGTAGCAGTAGAAAGGCTGCAGAAAGAGTCAGGAGCCCAGAGGAGGGGCAGAGGAGGCGAGCGGGGCTTTACAGCATGCTCTATGCTCTTTAGGCTTTACAACTATTATTACCCCAGCAGACCTTAGAACACTGAGAAAAATTCTGGGCTTGCTGGGAAGAATTGTAGACACTAGACCTGAAAGGGTGGATTGAGGAAGGAGAGAGTTGGTTGGGGGAGGGGGAGCCTTGGAGTAATTGAATTTTAGAGGTGTAAATTATGTTTCCAGTTTTCTCTCTTGAAACAATTGAATGTTCGAAGTATCACCATGCACATCTCTAGGTGTGTTAATTCAATGCTGTCAAGTTCTTTGTTTCTCTTTCCATAGGCACCCTGTCTCCCACTGATGTAGAATTTGTTGGCAAGGAACTCGAGTTTACCACCCCACTACCTATCAACCCTTTTGCATCGTAAGAATTATTTTTTTAACATGTGTTCATACCTTCTGAATTAGTTAAGAGAAATTGTTTAGTGCAATATCATCTATGAATTCAACCTTTGAGACTCAATGTAGTCAGTTCATTTTCTTTTATGCTGAAATATCGACAA